GTATATATTAAAATTACAAAATACATTTTCTTCTTGTTATATATGCTTTGAATTAAGCTAGAAAGAAATAAAATTTAATATTCCAAAGTAACACTTATTCATATGTGAAATGGTTTTGTATATCTAGAAATCTTAGAGGCATTATTCTAGTTTTCAAAAAGATGATATATTATTATGAAGCAAAGAAATGTGTATGCAAAAAGTATAATTCTAAAGAAAAAGTACTTTCTTAGAATAATCAGAGAATTGTGTAAGTCAACACCAAAGATCTATGATTACTGTAAAAAAAACTCTAATTCTAATATATTAACCCAAATCTAATTTATAAAACTAATTCCAATATATTAAACTAAACATTTTCTCCAAGGATATCATACAACTGTTAAACAAGTTTTGTCATTCACATAGTTTGAAATTTGCATCAAGAGCAAATTTATCTCAATTTTTCTTATTTAACAGGATTGTTAGTCATTTTGTTAATTATGTGGTTATATATCAAGTTTCTTTCTATATTTCTTAATAGAAATTATAAACGGTACTATAATAATGAAAAGTGAAAGAACAAGAAAAATAAAATAAGATTTTATATGCAATGTACAAAATATAAAGATAGATAAAAGATAAATCTGTTAAACCTAAAACTATAAAGATCAATTAAGGAAAAAATAGACACAAGCATGTTTTTTATCATTAGGTGTGATCAAATTTTCTCCCACTCACAGAAACCATAAGGGAGTTCTGGGGGCCTGTTTTTATGGTTGTTGTGTGCCACTGAGTCAGAAATGACCTACAGCTGACCCCTAGTGTATTTCAGAGGAAATTAATCACACAGGAGGAAACTGGGTATCCTTCGGAGATTTGGTGGTTACCGGTTATTTTAATATTTTTTTTTTATTTTAATTGGGATTTTAACAAAAGTTTACATTAAAGTTAGATTTTCATTCATTCATTGTTGCACAATTTCCTCCACCCCCCAAGTCCTCTTTGCAATATACCTCTTATTCTGGGCTGTTGTCATATGTATAATGCGTAATCATATATTCCTTTTAAACAGTTCTTTCCTTCTTCATTTGTTTCAATACAATGTTCATTATCTATACACTCTTAATATTATTCTCCTCCAAACATCCCTATCAGACCTGCTTTCTAACAGTGATGCTATACAATTATTTGTCCTTTTGTGGCTGAGATATTTTACTCAGCATAATGTCCTACAGAGTTCATGTATTGTACCTTAGTGGATTTGAACCCCGTGTCTTTGGGATTTCAGTACAGCTTCTTACCAGAAAGCCACGAGAGCTCCCAAAGGCACATGGCTCAAATCCACCAGTTGCTTTGTGGAGGGCAGAAGGCAATCTCTTCCAGGATTTACTATCTCTGAAAATGTGCTGGAGAGTCAGCTATGAGTCAGTTCCGACTAAATGATACACAACAATAACAGAGCAACTTTATGTGTGACAGAAGACAACACTGTGCAGTCTTACACAGTCCTCACAGTCTCTGCTGTGCTTAAACCCATTGTTGTAGTCATGCTGTCAGTCTTGAGTATCTACCTCTTTTTCTTCGGCCCCCTATTTTCTAAGCATGATCTCATTCTCCTAAGGCTGACTCTGGCTGATAATATTCATGAAGTACATGAGACAATATCTCCCAACATAGTTTCTAAGGAATATTCTAGTTCCACTTTTTCCAAAACAGATTTAGTTTCTTTTTTTGGTAGACCATGTCGTTGTTGTTCTTATGTGCCACCACATCACCTGCGACCTATAGTGGCCCTAAGTACAGCAGCTATGAAGCTGCGCTATCTTAAGCCAGTCTCACTGATTCCAACACACTTCTACTTGTTACCACCGTAACTGTGTCAAACCATCTCATGGTGGTCTTCCTGCTCTGAGCCGTCCCTCCACCCTTCTGAGCATGATATCCTTATCCTGGCCTCAAAGAGTCTTGGCCATATGCCTAAAGTACATGAGACAGAGCTATGCAATATTCTTCATCAACATCATAATTCAATCTCAAAAATTGTTCTTCAGTATTTTTTATTCACTGTCCAATTTTCACATGTATATGCTGTTGTTGTTTTTGTTAAGTACTATTAAGTAGCCTATGACTCACAGTAACTATAAAAAAAAGATACAAATCTTCCACTATCTTGTGTCATCCTGACCATCTCTGACTTACTCAAGCCCATTGTTATAGACATTTGTGACAATCTATCTCATTTAAAGTGTTCTCCATTTTTCTAAGCATTATATCCTTTTCCAAAGACAGATGCCTAAAGTATGTGAGATGAAGTTTCACTATCCGCGGATACACTTTTTCTAAGATAAATTTATTTGTCCTCTTTGCAATCCATGGTGCATTTAGTATTCTTTTCTAACCTCAATCGTTTTTGTATCATGATGTTGTCTGTTGACCTAGTGAAGAGGATCTTTATGTTTTTAATGTTGAGATGTATATAACCCATATTAAAGACTATAGTCTTTGATCCTTGGTATCAAGTGTTTCAAGTCCTCTTGCATAATATAAATTGTTGATGGATCTTCTCCAATCTTAATGTCATATTCTTCTTCACACAGTCCACCTTCTTGAATTATATTTTCCACACATATATTGAATAGGTATAGAGAATGGATATATCCCTGATGCACATCCTTTCTGATTTTAAACCATGCAGTGCTTCCTTGATCCATTCACTATAGTTTCTTGATTTAGGTACAGATTTCTCATGAACACAAGCATGTGTTCTAGGATTACCATTCTTCTCATTTTCAGCCATAATGTGTCATTTTGCATACAGTCAAAACCCTTTGCAATGTCAATAAAACACAATTAGATATCCTCTTATATTCTCTGCTTTCAACCAAGATCCATCTGTCATCAACAAGGATATCCCTGGTGTCACAGATGCTTTTATACTCAGTTTGAACTGCTGGCATTTCTCTAGCAATGTACAGTTCTAGTCTCTTTTGAATCATCTTCAGCAACATTTTGCTTGCTTGTGATATTAATGATATTGTTTGATAATTTCTACAGTGTTGTATCACCTTTCTTGGGAATGGGAACAAATATGGATCTCTTCTAATCAGTTGGCCAGGCCAACAGCCTCCATATTTCTTGGATGGACTAGTATTAATTGGTTGACATCGATTCCTGTGGCCTTATATTTGCCAATGCCTTCAGTGAGGCTTGAACTTATTCCTTTACTATCATTGGCTCTTGCTCATATTGTACTCTCAGAAATATTTCAGCACCTACTAAGGAGCTCTGGTGGCCTAGTGGTAAGGAGCTGCAACCCAAAGGCACACAGTTCAAATTCATGGGACGCTCAACAAAACAAATCTGGTCAGTCTCCTCCCACGTAATTTATTGTCTCTGAAAACTCACTGTAGAGTCAGCTATGGATTAATTGCACCCCAATGCTATATAACAATCAACAATTCTTGTTGGTAGAAGGAAGAAAATCATAGTATAGTGACTGTTTCCTTTTCATCTTCTTTTAATATTTCCTGGATCATTCAAAATTTTGCTCATAGTATTTCTCAAATTTTTAGTTTCTTTTCCTGTTATTTCAGCCTAAAATATACCAAGTGAGTTTTCCCCTTTTTTGTCTGACTCCAGCTCATTGTGCATTACACTATAATACTTTCCTTTGTCTTCCTCAGCAAATAGGACCTCCTAAAAATTAAACAATTAAGTACATCCAAAGACTTTTCCAAAAAAGCAAATGTACAGAAAGGAAAAATATGTTGACAATGATACATCTGCAGTGGGTTGAATGTGGTATTTATTATAGAATTAAGTATTATATTAACTAAACAGGTATAATCATAAATACTCTTGTAATTATAAAGTACATTATACTTACATATTGAGGTTTGTAGTAAGCTGGACCTAATGTGTTGTCATGTGAAGGTGGAAAACGCTTTATAATTGTGTCATCCTCATTAATATGGTAGCCATATGCAAGGCTAAAAGAAGGAATTGAAGGGACATCAACAGTTCTGGAAACTATAGGTATTCTTGACATTCTCTGAAAGGGAAACATTTTTTATTGATTGCTCAAAGATAAGGAGATGGGTTCAAGTACCAAATATTAAAATTATCTAAAAGTATTACTTAAAATATTAATAATGAGTTTTACAAATAAAAGTGTTTATTTGGATAGCATCTAATAACAGCACTATATCTAGCACAAATAGCCTCTCAATAAACATTTGGTAAGTCCCCGCATGACTAAATGAAAACTTCCTTTGTCCTCATGTGTCAAACATTTCACATAATTTGGGTATGATACTTGTTATTGTTCATTGTCTTTGAGTTGAGCACAACTCACAGTGACCCTATGATCAAAAGGCCTGACGTCCCTCTACAACTATAGACATTTATCAAAGTTCATAGTGTTTCCAGAGGCATGTTATTTAGGAAGTGGGTTACTAGTAAGAGGCAATTCCTTGGAAAGAGACATCATGCTTGAAAAGGTGGAGGACTCACAAAAGAGAGGAAGACATTAATTCAGATCGGTTGACAAAGTAATTGCAGCAACGGACTCCAGTACATCAGAGATTTTGAAGATGTCTCGGGGTTTAGAACTCTTGTTCCTACGGTTGCTGTGGGTCATACTCAACTCAATGACCCCTGAAAATAACTAATCTTATCTTATATTAGAATCTGTCTATTTATCTCCATTTATGTTTTTATTATTATCATCATCATTTTGGGGTTTGAGTTTTAAATTTTATTGTATTTTAAAAACACTCAGCATAAAATTTTGAATT